TCGACTCGGTACTCATGGGTGGACAACGAACGCTAAGTTGAATAACTGGTGAAACTCTGCAAAGGAGAGTGAAAAATTGAGAGCTCGGTTAAAACCAACAAACGGTTACAGTGCGAAGGAAAATTAAAAAAATAAAAAGAACTTTACTGTTAGTAGGTCCTACACAAATAAATATATACACAAATAAATATATAAACGGTTTAGCAGTCATTTCATATTTTTGTTTAAGAGAGTAACCCCTTGTAGTTTGCATGTACTTCGCTTAAAACTGTATAGTTGCTAATAGAGCAAATACGTGTTTGCAAAATAGTTGCCTGAGAAAACAAATTGAATTTGAAACTCATATACATACACACCTACATATGTATATGCATATCGTCGTTTAAAGTGCAAAACCGCGTATCAGCAAAATGCAAAACCGCGTATGTAAATTTGTAGAACTTATTTTCTGGAGCGTAAAACCACTCATATTTTAGAATGGTTCCTTTTTTTATAAAGCAATCACATTTCTGGCTAGTATATTTCAGGACGAATGGATAAGGATTGAGCCAAGAGCCTGTGTGAGCAAATCCAATTTTTGGCAGCCAATGTCAGTTACGCGGTTTTGCAGAATGACGATATGCGGTTTTGTACTTTAAACGACGATTTGTATGTAGATAAATACTTCAACGTAACACTTACATATGTACATACGCCTTTGTTCTTGTAATATGTATTTGGACATTTTGCTGGACCGAGTCTGCTTGCAATGAAGCCACCCACTAGAAATTGTACCAGTTCAGAAATAGTTTATTGACTCCCTCTGAATTATGCAATTAGTAAAAACTGCTGGTCGCCAGGGCAACAAATCAACTTAACTTCGCCACCAATTTTATATCTCTCCGATTCCTGTTCGAAGCGACCGGTAGGTTTGAACTACACCCAAACTATTTACTCTAAGCAAACTGAAAATTTCCAAGCCCTTACTTCTAGCAGGGTATCTGCATTCCTATGCATTTACATATAGTAGAATGTTGGAAATAGAAGTTTACTTCGAATTTATCAATTCTAATTTAGCAAACTTGCACATACACATTTGTATGTATAGATGTGTTGGTGCATTAGATCATATCAGAATAAAAGTCGGCCCTACACCACTGAGTCTAAAGAATTTTTGCAAGGCAATTTCCGTTTCGTGGTCCTGATTGCCCTCAAGTACCCAATTCCAGTACTGATCCACCACATATCCCTTCTTATCACCCTAACTTACCACCTTAATGTAAGTAAATTAAAGCTCCCGAAAATCATTAAAAAAAATTGAAATTGCAACCCCCAATTTCAGCCAACAATTTTGTTCCCGAAATTGCCTTGCGTATATACTCTGGACTTAGAGGTCTACGGCGAACCGGTTTTGCTTGTAAGGTGGTATGGTCTAATGTACATACATAAAGGCGCAATACATAAGTATACGAACATACATATGTATGCGTGGTTATGCTGCAAGTGGTGTAGCTTCACACACAAAGTGTAAATAATTCAGACATGTGCTAAGCATACATAGATGTGTCCGGTCAATCGTCGGCTATTTCCCAACTCATAAGACCACATTGGGGGCCAATGCTTGAAATTTTTCGAATAACGCAAAAGCTGCCAATTTTCGCCAATACGCTTAAGTGCTGTTGTGGGTGTGCAAAGAAATTGGATATTGCAATTTATTGATTCCCGCAGTCGAATGCATTCAATTTGGTTGATGAAAAAAATTAAAGTGCTTAGATTTTTTTGATACTTACTTATTTTACTCTAGAAGTATTGTGTTCATATATTAGTTAATCAAACAATTGGTTGAGCAGCCTAAGAACATTTCAAATTAAAATTATCTAAAAAAGTATCACAAGCTTAAGTTGCCATGGCAACAGTAGCTTTTTATAAAAATCACCAATATTTTTGCCAGTTTCACAGCGATCCAGTAGCGCATTTCAAGTTCATTGAGCACCCTGCTTGGTTATAGTAGAAAATTTTAAGTTGGTATAGATACAACAAATATCAAGAGGAGAAAAATAAGGTGTTCTAGGATGACATTTTTTTCCTACATACCAAGTTTTTAAAACTGCGAATGGAAACCAAATTGGCACTTTTGTCTTTCTTCTGGTTGAAATTAAATTTTGGTTGAAAATACCAGCACTCACATACATATGTACATACATTTGTATATTAGGGTCGTCCTTAAATTTAAAATAAAGACATCCACGAAAAATCCAAGATTAAAAAAAGTTAAGTTAAAAGTTAATTGCTAAAGTTCGACGAAATCTTGACCTTGACCAGCTATAAGTATCCAACCTTGGTAATGAACCAGTAGAAATTGATTCACAATTTTTAAATTTTTCTGTGTGTCTTTATTTTGTGCGTGGGGTGCACAATAAAAATTTAAATGTTGTTATTTTTTTCAAGACCACCGTAATGTACATACACATGCTGTGCTTCAGTCAACCTCAATAAACTTGATTTTTGCTAGTTATTTGTTGTTTCAGTGGTTATGTAATGATCGGCATACATTAGGGTGGTCCAAAAATGCACGTGAAAAAGTAAAGTCGGATTTTGTGTGCTCTCACCCCCTAGTAGTGTTTTATTTTTTTAATTATTTTTTATTTTTACCCCTATTTTTTGTTTTAAAATCAAAAAATATTTAGAGGTCGCTCAAAGCGCTCAAAGAGGTATAATTTTTTTCGACATAGAACAATCCTAGGGGGTGATAGCATTAAAATTTCGACTTTACTTATTTGGGATCACCCCAGTGTACATATTTACATATGTTAGATTGACTTGCCACAGCGTTTTCATATTCTGGAGCAATGTCGAAGAATATGACATTCCTTCCCAGAGGCCAACATGCGGAATGCTTCTAACGAGTTCTTCTCTTCGGAAACTATGTTAGTAGATCTCCCAGTAGCACGACCAATTGAAGGCAAGCGAAATGAAGCAAGGAAGAACTGAAAATCTGCCCACTCCTTATATAAAAAGGAACAAAGTAAAGAATCATGCGGGGAAGGCACAATCAAATATAATTGCTCATCTTTTAGGAGTTTCCTCCAGATTCGCTCACAGAGAATTGTGCTGCGCAGTTTTCTCATTTGTTTCGCAGCTACAGGCATATTAGGGGGTGTAACGCCAATAAACCGAGTCTATTAGTACACCAACTAAAAAGCCAATGTAGATCATCGAACAGTTATAAGAAACTCTCTGTGTTGATGCTATGCCCCACTTTAGTTGCCCTAAGGTGTCATATGTTCGTAAATTTATCTCGTAATGCTTGGTTTATCTATAAGCTAAGAGTGCGGACAGATACTTCGCACTTAATTGGACGGTATAATAACTACAGCAGTTCTTCCATTCATTTTCTGGAATAAATACCTTATTAAACAATAGAGATCAGAGTAATCGAGGCGTACGCTCCTGCCGTCGACACTCCACTTATAATCGCTAATTTTGAGATATTACTGAAATTCCAGCTGCATACAGGGTGTCCCAGAAGAATAATGTCAGAAGCAAGTAATTATGTACCTTTGTACTATTTAGCATGTCATTTGACGGTAACAAGAGCAAATTCAATTTAAATCTAATAAATACATTCTAGCGTGTCTCAGTCCTTTACCCACAAAAGCGGCTATAACTTTTTTTTTCTATTCGAAACAGTAAGTGTGGCACCTTTCTGAAATCTTTATGAAAAGAGCAATTTTTTTATGTAATGTAAAGTTATAGCTCAGTGCATTTTTTTTCACCAGAGATAGTCAAAGTTGGAGAAGAAAATATCAAAAAGTTAAAAATCCCGAAATAGTCCTAATTTTATGATGGTTCCTTAATATATTTTAACTACATTGCATTTGAGTATGACTATCTGGAAGCATTTTACATAAAAAAATTACTAAGTATTGCCCGGTTTGTAGTTGCAGTTAAAGAAAACACATGAAAAGGCACGGTTTTTTTTTAATTCGAAAAAATGTAAATATTTCAAAAACAACATATATGTTTTATTAATTCATATTTCATTTTATTATTCATAATTCAATTTATTTATTTTAAAAGGGGATACTATGTACATATATGGTAATTATTTTATAATAAAAACACAGTTAAATATGTATGCATATAATGTCTTAAAATCGTAAATTCTAACGTAAAATAACATTTAAAAAAATTTTTGAGGGTTTTGGCCGTTATTTTGCTTGGCAAACTTTTACTAGTTTAAGTGTTTACGACACTTATATATGTAGTAAATTCAATATATATAAAAGCACCCGAACAACATGTTCAACACCGATATTGAATTTGGCTAATCGCTTATTATGCATTTGAAGGAAGCACGCCAAATTCCAAATAAAAATTACTTTACAAATTTTTGCCAGACTACAAACTACTATTAAAATTTGAATATAAAGTTAACAGAATAAAGCTAATATGTTTTAACATTGATTTTGTTCCTTACTCTTTACCGATAGGAATGAGTTTCTCTTACGCTGTGTCTGTCTAGGTATTGCATATGTGTACATACATATATAAGTAACAGGGAAAGCTAAAGGTGACATATGGTCCAAAAAAAATCGATTTTTACTTTCCTATCGATGTTATCCTCTTTTTAGTGCTTGACCCAGCAGTCTTCTAGCTGCATTAGTTTTCCCAAAATTCGCTTCAAAGATTGACAAAATTTTTTATAAAATTCACTTTTTAACTTCAAAGTTGTTTTCTTTTTTTCTTGCGAACTAAAATTGCAAAAATGCAAAATGAACTAAAAATATTTTAATTCACCATATATCTGAATTTTTCAATTTATTACTTAAAATTGGTTTTAGTGAGCCTATAATTGTACATTATTTTCTGCATGTGATTTCTAACTTAAAATGTTCTTTATTTATGAAACAACTATAACAACGCGAAATTATGTTCGATTTATAAATATAAAAAATACGAATATTGCTTCTTATGCCTATGTGAATTCGGTGTCTATTTATTTAAAATCTTCAATACCTGGTGTTTTAATGTTTTGAGTTAACCCTTTCACTACCTTCCCTTCGGTAAAAAGTTTCGCATAATGTATGGTTCAAATAGCCCACCGATATTGTTTATGTATTTACATAGTGGGCGAATAAGGTTAGAAGTACGAAATTTGAGGATGTGGTCGAGTGCATACTAGTCCCTAACAAATAATTTTTTTCGAAAATAATTATTGTAACATTTCAAGGATTTTCAATGATAAAATGTGAAAAGGACATTTTCTACAGACTTTTCCCTTTAATTTGATAGTCACACTGTATTTCTACATTTCACTGAATTTTTTTTTATAATAATTCTTAATAATTATATTTATTAATTTTTAAAGACCTTGAAAAAACCTTGGTGTCAGAAATACCAAGGTTTGCACCGGCACATAAAAAATATATAAAGGGATGCTGACCAGAATAATAATTTCTTACGCATTTTGAAATCAATATTCTGGTTTGCTGTACTTGGGATTTCTTTGTGTGTGCCGGTGTCTTGTCAATGTCTGAAAATTATTTAAATGTACCATTATTTCCATGGTAGTGAATGGGTTAAATAGGAATGTCAGCTTAATACCTATTGTTAAAGCCTAAAAGGGATTTAAAAGCCCTCAAATAAATAAGCAAATTCAATTGAATTCTTCCGCTTCAATTCAGATTTGTCATGATATGTTTGTGTCCAAACACTCTTCCCTTGTGAATATAAAAGCCTTATGTAGAGCTTCCAATGTAAGCTTGAAGTTAAGAGTGATTTTTACTGAATGTTCTTCTGTTTACAATATCAGCTTGTACCACTCAATTTACTTATTCCCAACTATGACCAGAACTTCACTCCAAACAGATATGTAAACCGAAGAACATTCAATAAAAAGCACTCTTAACTCGAAGCTGACATTGTGAACCTGTCTCTAAGGCTTGTTTTAACTAGCTCATTTCATTCTTTCTTATTTGAAGAGCGATAACTCAGAATTTTCCATAGTGAAAACAAATCCTTATAATTGTCAATCCCGACTGACGCTATTATTGCTGCCGCTACTCACGCGCTTCACCTACTACTCCTGCTACACTCCCCACTGCATAGCAACTCTCACCGCCTACCCATCAAACGCATAAATACACCAGGCAACAATATGAACGCCGCCACCACCCGTGCTAGTCAGGCGATCCGATTCGTTTGCAGTCGCAGATAGGCAGCACCATTTTCACCACCATTTGTTGTATTTTCAATGAACACATTCCATTTTTCTTGCCACTTCTGCAGCGCCGCCTTCTTCTGCTCCTCACTCAATGCGCTGTAGACCAACGAATTGATCGCCAACTTTTTTAGCAGACGCATATCGGCATGCGCCGAAGCGATACCCAAAAATGCAATATAGAAATCGTGTGAGAGCGGTGTGGCACGCCAAAATGATGGATCATCCGATGAGATCACAACTGTGTAATTGTTGGCGAAAAAGTGTGAACAGGGATGATTGCGATAATCGCTGACGAGTTGTAATACCTGATTGGAAATGGGATTGATTTCGACGGGTATGTTGCGCTCCTTCAACGCCTGCAATACGAGCGGATGTTTGGTGAGCGCGAAGCCATGGCCGATACGCTTTGTACCGAGCAGCACTGCATCGATTAGATTTTCATCAACATCGGAACCATACCAATTCGTTTCACCGGCATGAAAGTAAAAATCGATATCAGCAGGCATGCTTAATAATTGCGGTATGAAATCTTTAAGTGGGCGTCCAAGCTCTTCCTGGCCAACCAAGTCGAAACCAGCAATGAAATCGGGGTATTTAACCTGAAAGTGTATGGAAAGGTTAACTCGTTGCGTAGTAAAAGTAATGTTAACTGCATTGATATTAATTCTAACCTTTATTTCAATGCAGATACGTATATACTCCTCAACTTGTGTTGGGCTTGTATTACGTATCGGCGCATAGATCAGTTTCGATCCGATGAAGTCTGGGTAATCTTGCATGAATTTTTCCAAGGTTTCCTTATAAATGCGCACAGTGTCCAGCTCAGTGTACTCGTTATCTTCCAAGTCGTATAGCTGTAATGAAAAAAGTGGAAAGTTTTTAATATCTATACATAAAACGCGCAATGTTAAGGCACCTCGGAATGTTTGCTATTGACAAGAATATTCTAACGCCTTGCTGGATATGAAGCCACTATAAGATTTCAGTAAAGGAGGTCGTTGGCCAGTTTATAAGACAAAGTGCATATGCTCTCCCTTTGCGCCAGACCTGCCATGATTCCAATTCTCGCTACTCAAAAATAAATGTCCTTCAAAAAGAGATTACAGACCTCTGTATCTTAGGTTACTAAGAGAAAAGTAAAACAAAATTCCATATATTGAGATTGCCGGTGTCATCAATCCTTGTGCATAAATAGGCTGCTCCTTTCAGTGCTTTGAGGCTGCGTAAATGACTTTGTAGAAAAACATCTGTGTCCTTCTGATTTTAAGAAAATCGGACTTGGACAAAAAGTTTCTTTGGAAGAAGGATTGGAAAGAGATTATTTTTGCTGAATGCTTCGCAATTTCTGATTTTATGAACTTGTCTAAATAGAAATGACTATGCGAGTTCCAGTTTCAGAAATTGTTCTCCAGGCTTTTATTTGGAATATCGGTAAGTAACTAGTCTTGATCACATATCGCCCGGGAGCGTCGATTTTTTCGAACAGCCAGGCAGCGGTAAGGGTCCTTGGCTGCGTATCTCTTTATGATGTATAAAGGATGAGATTGCTTAGCATTGGGTAAACAAAGATTAAAAGACTGCAGTGTCTGCAGAAGTTGTTGGCCTTTTGTTCTGCTGATAATGAAAACCATTGGAACTGCATTTATATACCTAGGTTTGTTCCCTTTTCTGGTTAAATTGTAAGCTGTGATTTCAAAATAACACCCACTTCCAGCTCAAGGAAACCGGGTTGTTAAGTGACTCGAAGACAGGACACTCTATGTTTCTGGAGCTCCTCTCTATCTGTGTACATTCCCTCAAAAGAGGACTGGTGGGACGGGGTTACTCAAAGAAGGTAGCAGTGAACTTCTTCGCGGACAGATCAGAACGCAGTGGCAGGTTGGTGGAGATGTGTTTTGCTGGGAGCTCTCGAACAAAACTGTCCTCAGGCTTCCAGATTTCTGTTGTGTCCTTCATGCGGAAAGAGCCGCCATCATGAAGGTGGTAGACTCACTGCTAAAAGGCGTGACGTCAGTTAGCGAAATTAGCAAAGGAGGTTATATATCCCTGAACGCTATGGTGGTATGCTGCAAAATCGGTAAGAAAATGTCTGACGTTTATACCAAGTGCGCCGGAGTACTTCCTAATTAGGCTCGTTTGGGCGCCGGTCCACAGTGACATTGCGAGCAACTGCGAGGCTGATGACTTTGCAACGAAAATCACAACTGAAACGTTTACACCAGGTGTAGAGCAGCTGAATGGCGGCCTTGTGCTGTTCACTCTTGGGCAGTTGGGCCTCATGAAAGCTCAACGAGCTCTGGGCTGGTTCTGAAGTGAACCGCGCGGTCAAAGGAGTTATTTAAGTTTGCAAAGCATCAGTTTTCGCTAATGGTGGGAGTTCCGAAGGCCATTGTGCCATTAAATTCACGCTGTTAGGTTGGGAATCTCAACTGATCTCTTTTTTATCAGCGATCAAGGGGATTATGAGATGAAATCATCTCAGCGCTCTTTCTAATGGACTGCCCAGCCTTCGCGAGGCTAAGAACGAAGCATTTCAGCGCGCACTTCTTGACTAGCCATAACGGGCTGTCAGGCATTGAAATTTGGCACAGTCGTAATTACGTATACCGGTTACATAGTTTAATGGTCTCCGTTTCAATTTCAGAGTCTAATTGCTTGCTGCATAACGGGGTACTGAGCGCAAGCCCAATTTCTGATTTTCTTAGTTCCAGAATACTAAAGCGAAGGTTAGCTGTAATATTAGCGGCGATAGGTAAATTTACCCTAAGAAATTTCGGATGTAAGTCAGCTGGTATGACAAACGACTCCATGCTTAAATTAGGTGAGAGGATTTTAGACCACAAGTAAAAAATTAGAGCAGCGAAAAGGTACGAGATTCCCTCTTAGCACGGTTCATATTGGCAAGGATGGTTCAAATTCCATTATTGCCGGATTCGGGTATGGATTTTTGCGATGACAGAAGATTTAGAACTTGGCCTAAATGAGGCAAAAAGTGGCCCCACATTTAAGCATTACAAAAATTTCCTCAAAATCAATAAAGCTGTGGAGAGACTAACTCAATATAGAAGGCTGCATATCTAATGGGTCCCGGTCCACAAAGGCAATGAATGCATTTGGCACACGTATTTATGGCAGCAATCGGCGGTAGCTACGAATGCGGAATATACATGAAGCCAAGAGCCAAGGAAACGCTGCAATATTACGCAAACCCGCCTTAAATACCTTGGGCTAATCAGTTTGATTGGCGCAACCTCGCAAAGTAGAAAGGCAACTGGCGAAGTTTTTTGGACAGGGCTCAAACCGACGAGCGATTGTAGAGCCAAACGAGAAGAAGAAAAATCGACTCGACAAACTGGTATATAGCAGCTCAAGAGTGGGACCACATTAGCTAAAGGCGATGGCATCCTAAATATTGTCTACTAAAAACCTACTTAAAGTGTGATCTACATCAGGTGCCTAGTGATCAAATGGTAACAGCTAATTAACCTAACCTAACATCACACAAAAATCCATATACCACAATATCGCTAATCATTTATTCAACTTACCCTTGGCAATGTGCTGCGGAACTCCAAATACTGTACGCCATCCGCACGATACTCCTTCAACGCATTGTAATAGTAGTCCGCCCACACAGGTGCATAGGTAATCAAACCATCCAACAATTTAAAAATGTCCATAAACTCCTCCCAAGCCTCATTGTTATCAAGAAATTTCTCTTTCGGATATAACGTAAAGCGTTCACGTAAATATTCATCCACCGCTGCAGCGCCATGCCTATCACGCATTTCCGCCAAAAGTGTCCACGCACAATTTTCACCTTCCACCACATGTGTTGGCTTTTGCTTGGCAAAATGCAAAGCGACCGCTTCCAATGCACCACTACGCTGACACGCCCACAAATTCTCTCGGTAAGTTAGTTGTATTACAAAATCAGTGCTACACATGGCCGTATCGTGCGCATGCAACACGCCACCCTTCGGCATTGCATGCAAGTACGCAAATAGCGGCGTCTTAGTGATGTCTTCCAAAACGCTAAAGAAATGTTTTGACGGCTTGAAGAGGTGCGGCGTGACAAGACCCTCCTCATACTCGTACGTCTTTGCTGCCATAATAATCTTATTGGCAAGCAATTCTTGTTCGTTCAACTCAATTTCGGCGCCCAGCCCCTTGGATTCCTCATAGCGAAAGAATAGACTACGTTCGGCATCGTAAGCGTCCGGTGTCGGACGACTGCTGCGTAAACTACTCTCAGGCAAATAGGCGGCCAAATGTGAAGCAGCCAACTGGCTGCGTTTATGGGTGCGCGCAAAAACAACACTCAGCACGCACCACGCGACGAAGGCAAAATGCGTAAAGTTAAACATTTTGGCAGCTAATGTCGATCGGAAATAATGGTGCGTAAGTATGTTGTACAAGTGAGCCGTTTATCACTGAGCTGTGTCCAGTTGGAACGCCGATCGAACGCAAACTGAGAACGTGGTGTTAGAAAAACGAACGGACAGTGTTTCGCTGCTGTTGTTTGGGTGCGTTGTTAGTCTGCAAGTGAATGAAGTTCGTGAGTGTTTTCATTGTTACGTAATGTTTAGATTGCTTTTATGACCGCTAATCGGCGATAGCGCATATTCTAAGTATTCGATTTCAAGTGCCAATAATAAATATTCGGGGGAAAGCAAAGAATTTCAATAGGCTATAAGATAAAGTTTAGTTCTATTTGTTTCGATTTTTATGGTTAAAGTAGTGTTCGAAATTGTTAATCTTTAACATGTGCTAAGCGGAATACATGTGCTTAAGGAGAGGATTAAACCGATAATTTTGTAAACAATTATTTACAATTGAACAATTTTTTTTCAAAGCAGATACAAGCATAGACAGTTGTGATTTAGTGATGCGGCAGCTCTTATAATTATCGTAGAGGAAGGGGATTGAAGGAGAGTCATAACCAGGGACCGGATTTTTAGGACCTAAAAACCTATAAAAAAAGGCAAAATAAAATAACAAAATAGGCTGGAAAAGGCACTAGGTATTGCAAAAAAAGGCAAAATAAGGCACTAAAAAGAGAGAAAATTCGAAGAACAATCAAAAATTACATTTATTTTAGAAATGTTCATATTACAAGTAAAAAGAGAAAAAATATGAACTAGTTTCATTATATGAAAAATTTGTACTTTGAATCTTTGACTATTTTGTCTTTTCGAGTTTCTAACTCATAAAACTTTAATCTGTATAGTTGTAGTAACATTGAACCACAAGATGCATTCTGAAGTTTTCTGGCAGCATATTCATTCGATTTTCGCGAAGAAAAGCCTTGAATGTACTAAATGTGCGCTCGACGTAAGTTGATACAAGCGGCGCCCAATTTAAATATGGAACGTTTGAAACGTTCATATTATCAGGAATAAGGGCATTTTCCTCGCCCTTTACAATTTTATCCACACCCCTTATTGTCTCCAAGCCTACGTTAGCTGAGAAAACGGCTTTGAATTTTTCCAACACCAACATAAGCCGCATGGGCATGTGTATATTTTTTAATCTTAAAAAAAAATGTAAATGCTATAATCACTTTTTTAAAGGTAGAAAAGGCAAACAAAGGCAAATATCTTAAAAAAGGCAAAAAAAGGCAAATATCTTAAAAAAGGCAACTTCAAATGTGTATATATGGAATCAGGGAAAGCTAAATCGTGGACATTCTTAATCGAATATACTCTATCTCTTTAGCAGAAAAAAAGGAAATTTCCATAAAATCCGTTCCCTGGTCATAACTATGCCAAATAAAAAATTTGAGTCAGGTTCTGGCCGCATTGCAGGATTTTTTTTACTTGGTCTAATTTACATTAAGGTGCATCACAAAAAAAAAAGTTGCGATTTTCTCAGCGGTATTATAAAATTCATTTTATAAGACTTCTGCCAAAATATGTCCAAGAAATATGTAGACTTATGTGAGCTGGACTGATTTGAAAATACCTCCAAAAATCCCATTATTTGGAGTCCGTTTTGAAAATGCTTAGGTTCAGCTCACATAGTTCTTAATCAGCCTTATCCTGAGTTTCGCCTGAAGAAAATTCACCCGAATAGTAAAACCATGGAAAACAAAGGTGAAAGGTGAAACGGTTCGGGGAAAATGAAACTCATGATAAGGCTGAATATTTTTCCGAAATATTTTGGCGAAAGTTTAAAGTACTATAAACAGTACCATTTTTTTTTTTTTGTATAGAGAGTGATACACCCTAATGTACATGTATTTAACTCTCTTATCGATTTCACGCAGTTGAGCAGCCATTTAAATCATTCTTTAATAGCAGCTGGTTCTGTCTGAGGAAAGCTATATTAGTTTGGTAGCTTAGATTTCAGCATGATAAAGAGTTCCCTTCAAAGCCCCTTTCCATCGACCCTTCCTTCAAACCCTGACACATTCGTGTAAAAGCTCACTGTGATGACGTCTACCCATCGCTTGGGGAGATGTGATTTCCGAGGAACGACTACTAGATGTCTGCTTAATCCTGCTGAAATCTGTCATATCAGTGACGAAGTCGGAGCTTTCAATCACACCAGAGTCTAAAATCCTAAGCCAACTTAGCACACAAGTGCTCTTATGTCTCGCCGCAAACCTTGTTACAGCAACCTTCAACAACATCGTAAAATGTTGACAGGCGCGATATTATTCATGGCGTTTAGTGGGTGTTCTCAGTGTCCCATTTAATCCAGTAAGGGCGCCCCGTTGTAAACGGTCGAGCTTTCCAACGTGCAGTCTTCTCTAGCACATCCCACCAAACGAGGACTCCATAGAACATTAAGAGCTTAACTATGGTTTTAAAGAGACAGAAAATACAATTCCAAGGGAAACACCATCTCTTACCAATTTCCACCTTGCATCGGTAAAGAACCAGTCATATCTTCTTCACTCTTTCCCCGAAGTAAGGGTTCTGCGACAAGGTGCTATTAAGCTTGAGCATATGATTGTATCAGAAAGCGCATGGCAAATTCTCCCAATTGAGAGGAGACTCGAGTAGGGTTTACGGAGTTTACATAATCTGCAGATCACTTGGTCATTGATCAACCCTTGGATATACCCCTAACTAATGAAGAAACGCCATCCGCATAGTTAATTAACCGGTATCCCCCTCTCACCAGTTCCTCCAGAAAGCCGATTATGACCTTAATCAGATGAAGAGGTGAAAGAACCCTGGGAAGTGTCAGTTCCAGAGTCTGGATGAACACAATATTCACGCTACAAGGCGCAAAGGCCAAAGCTACTTATACGTGGATAATATTCTATCATATGTACTTTCTGGCCTTTCTTTCGGTGGCCCACAAAACCTGCAGTCTGTATCCTCAGAGTTCAATTTTAGAAAGATTTTACCTTAGATTGCTGTGCCCTTCTAGGTAACCAGTAATAGTTCCAAAAGCCTTAAGGTTAAGGTCAAACGGTTGTTCAAAAACTCCACAATCAGGCAGATTCTACAATACACTTCCGCGTGAATTTCAATGTTATTTGCTTCGAATTCAAATTGGCAGGGATTGAAATTCACTCGGAAGTGAATTGCAGAACCTGCCTCAATAAGGAGTGATACAGTCTTGGTTGCATCCTGAGAGTCCTCACAACTTCTTAGAAGCTCTATAGTATATCGCTTGTAGGAAAGGTCGAAGGCTATACGCGCTCCATTGGACACAGTATTTTTCGAGATTAGCAGTCTTTTCGTTACCAGCAAATTCTTCAAGACCAGCACTACCCCAAAAATATCTAAGTAATGTGCTAGACCCTAACTGTAGTCACTCCAACCTTAGGCTAAATATTTAAGAAATTAAGCACATTGGAGGATACCATGTTCCAAATATTAGGCTTGTCAATATGCGATTCATTATACGTGGGAAGTCACATAGAATATGTTCTGGAGTTTCCTCCAGCAGCCCACAAAATATGCAGTCCGTCTCTACAGAAAATCCCATTTTATTACAATGATACCATAACATGCAGTGTCCTCTTAGGCAGTCTGCTCCAAAACCATCCCGGCTAAGTTCAAGGCGGCTTTCATAGTTCCTCCTGGAGTTAGTTATAATTTTTTTCGGCTTGGAACATGGTTTAGTGTGAGCCCATTTGATTGGCAGACTTTTCTAGAATCTTGGTCCAATTACGCCTAACTCAGTACTCACCTCTTCCACTGGTATATTGGAGATATTATCTCTTCATAGCAGTCCCTTTTAGGAACCCTGACCTTGTAGGGCTTGTCAGAGGATAGCTATATATCGTTCATATTGATTTCATTGTGCAGTCTTCTAGAATATGATTGGTTACCATGAGTACACTTATTTTGAGAATGATAACAACTATCAGACTCAAAAATAGTAAAATTCATGGTATTGTAAGTAAGTAAAAGAACATTTTCACGCGACGGAGAATGCTTTAGCGACTACTTACATAACTATTTTCAGCACTTTGGGCAATTTTCGCCAGTTTCCATTGTGTTGACTAGACTCTCGACTTTTTAAGTTGCAAAAAATTTAACTTCCACCTCAATATCTCTATCATCCCTACCAAATAAAGAATGTAGTGTTTTACCAAAACAACACCCTACAATTTTATTCTTAATCATCAGAAAAAATTTTAAATTTTCAAAGTAGAAAAATGCACAAACATTTTTATTCGCATCCTGTCGTCTACCTCAGGACATTGTCAATCCATTCCTCCCATCTTTTACTCCATTTCTCAAAGGCTTCCTCCCGCTGAGTCTGTTCAAATGCTCCATAAGCAATCGAGTTCCAAGCCAACTGCTTTAGCATGCCAAGATCTGCCTTCTGCGAGCCAATCACCATAAATGCCACATAGAAGTCATGTGTTAGCGGCGTAGCCTTCCAAAATGATGGATCATCCGAAGCGATCACAACCGGATAATTTTGCGCAAACAACACCGCAGCGGGATGAGTACGCAAATCGCCAATATATTGCAACACTTGATTTGATATCGGACTCACTTCGATGGCAATATTTCGCAAACGCGCCAAACGCAACACCTCAGGATGCTTAAGCAGCGCCAGGCCATGACCAATGCGCTTAGTGCCGAGAAGCACAGCGTCGAGCAGATTTTCATCGATGCTTGAGCCATACCAATTGGTTTCGCCAGCATGAAAATAGAAGTTGATTTCATCTTGTACAGCGAGAAGCTCGCGAGCATAATCACGCAATGGGCGACCCTCGGCCTCATAGCCAACCAAGTCGAAGCCGGCAAGGTAGTCGGGGAATTGGGACTGCAAGTGGGGGTAAGAGAGCGTGACGGTGTTCGATTAAAATCACACAATTTACTAACCTTCAACAACAGCGCATTGCCGAGATACTCGACGAAACGAGCGTCGCTAACTTTTCGCGTGGGCGCATAGATCAGCCGCGAACCAATCCAGTCCGAATGCGTTGCGCGGAAACGTAATTCCGCATTGCGCATTGCTCGCGTCGTATTCAGTATGGTATAGTTGCCACCAACTAGGTCGTAAAACTGCCGAAAAAGTGTATATTACAATTGGCACAAACGCACAGTTTAACTTGAGCGCACTTACTATCGGTAATAAGGAACGTATTTCCAAATATTGCACGCCATCTGCGTGAAATTCCTCCAGCGCCCTGTAGATGTACTCCTCCCATACGGGGGCATAGGTCAACAGCCCAAAAACAAGTCGAAATATGCTACGAAAACGCTTCCACACCACATCCTCATTGTCGAACTGCACTTGCGGATACATAGTCAATTGCGCTAATAATTTCTTATCAACAACATCGCCACGCTCATTCCCACGTAAGTCGCTCAAAAGCAACCATTCGCACGGTTGCTCGCTCTGCGGCCGCAACAAAGAGAAACGCAGCCGCTCGTACTCTTTTGTCTCACTGCGTGAAACACAAACCCACAAATGCTCTCGATATGTCAGCCGCAACAGGTATTCACTGCTACACAGCGCCATATCATGCGCATGCAAAACGCCGCCTTTCGGCATACCGCGCAACAGCTGAAAGAGTGGTGTTTTGTTGATTTTCTCATTTGAGCGAAAAAAGTGTTGTGCCGCTTGAAAGTGGCTCAAATTTGTCAAGCTCAGCTCCAGTTCGCGTCTCTTCTCCAGCATGATCAGTTCATTGAGCGCCATTTCTTTGGCATTGAGCAGCACGCCGCCGCCGAGTTGTGCGCTTATCTCCTTCTTCAATATGTTGGCGCGCACAGTTTCGTAGGCACGCACGCGTTCCGCAAGCGGCGTGAAGCTACGTAACGTGGGCAACTCCGAAAGTAGAACGAAAACCAAGCCATTGGCCAAAATACAAAATATCGCTAAATTACGCATCGAAAGCAGATTAGCCATCGTCGCTAGCAGGTCAAGCGGCGAGCGCAAACTAATTGAATGGCGGCAGATAAGCTGAGGTTATTGTTGCGCAGCTCACTATCAGCAGCAATGAATGCTTATTGAGTAGACGTTAAATTTGACTAAATTTTATTAATTTTGATGAGCTTCTTTGGCCTAGTTGGTGATTAGTGCAAGTAAAAACAACGTTTTTTCTTCACTGCTTTGCCCTACGTTTCGCTAAACTCCTTAGCATCCTCAGGGGCCAATCTTTATTTTAAATCAACAAACAAAAGAAGATACAAACAAAAACAATTAGGAACAAAAGTTACATTGAACATGTAGTTAATAAAGTCTCAATATTTGAATTTATCACGCAGCAAATATGTATATACACTTACTTTCATATACGTATATTTGTTAACATATAAACACATAAACATATAAACACTAAAACATAAACACTTAAAAGCACACAATGCTCTGTACCATTATCGTTTGGTACACTTGTCATACTGATTTTCTTGTCACAAACATAATAAATAAGTAGCCGCAATATCATCTGTGTCTTCTTTTGTATTCATCGTTCTTTTTCTATTCTCTAATATGCGAAGGCTCTCTAGTGTGTATCTTGTCCACTCTCTCTTTTCTACATCTATTATTCTGGCGTTTGCAAGATCAGCTGTGTGACTGTTTTCTAACATATGTTGTGCGAGTGCTGTGTTTTTCTTTTCCTTTCTTATGTCCGCTTTGTGTTCTGCTAAACGGATTCCCAGTGTTCTTTTCGTTGTACCTATATATATTTTGTTGCAGTCTACAGTTTCTCCTTCCATGCATTTCACTTCGTACACCACGTTGCTTTGTTGGTAGGTTTCGATCGGACTTTTAGTTTTTGTGAAGATTGTGGACAGTGTGCAATTTGACTTGTACGCCAGAGTTATGTTTTTCTTATGTTCGTTTATGTTGTGGTTGAATTTATCCGTCAACTTAGGTATGTATGTAACGCTAAAGTATTGTTTTGTTTCAGTTGTTGTTGCGGTGGGTGTTATTTTATTTTCTTTGTTGTTTACTTCTGTTAATTTTTGTTCTATTAGAGTTTTTATAAGGTGACTGGGGTAATTGTTGTTTGTGAGGATTTTGTAGATTTTCTTTGTATTTTGATCTAAAAATTGTTTGTGGCTTATGGTCAGTATTTCAGAAGAAAAGAAAAACACAGCACTCGCACAACATATGTTAGAAAACAGTCACACAGCTGATCTTGCAAACGCCAGAATAATAGATGTAGAAAAGAGAGAGAGGACAAGATACACACTAGAGAGCCTTCGCATATTAGAGAATAGAAAAAGAACGATGAATACAAAAGAAAACACAGATGATATTGCGGCTACTTATTTATTAAGTTCTGAACACATTGAAAACGACGAGCTACCGACCACAGCTTCCAATTTGTCATCTTTATTATCTACGCGCTTTGTCGATGGCGACATGATTTCTTTGAACGTGGCAGCGACATCATGAATTTGTATGAGTCTGACATAAAAGAAGAGGAAGAACCTTATCTGTCGCCATTAAAATAGAAATAGATCTAATCTGGCCACAACCACAACCGTCGCGTAGCCCGGTCGTCGCCAAAATAATTATCTACATAAGAGTACGTGTTAAAATAATTTGACAGCTGTGGTCCGTAGCTCGTCGTTTTCATTGTGTTCGGGCTATTATGTTTGTGACAAGAAAATCAGTATGACAAGTGTACCAAACGATAATGGTACAATGCTCTAGCTTTTAAGTGTTTATGTTTTAGTGTTTATATGTTTATGTGTTTATATGTTAACAAATATACGTATATGAAAGTAAGTGTATATATTTGCTGCGTGATAAATTCAAATATTGAGACTTTATTAACTACATGTTCAATGTAACTTTTGTTCCTAATTGTTTTTGTTTGTATCTTCTTTTGTTTGTTAATTTAAAATAAAGATTGGCCCCTGAGGATGCTAAGGAGTTTAGCAAAACGTAGGGCAAAGCAGTGAAGAAAAAACGTTGTTTTTACTTGCACTAATCACCAACTAGGCCAAAGAAGCTCATCATAATTAATAAAATTTACGAAGAAAATTGGCCAGAAAATAAGATATTATATTAAGTTAAATTTGACCATTTGAGCATTTTCGAATACAGCCAAATGCGCCGCGTAGGCGCTAGCTATGCTAGATTTACAATTTTCTCGCGTGTAAATGGGATGCTGTGGTGTGATTTGCAACCAACATTTTGCAACATTTATTACGTTAACTGTAATTTTTCCGTATTACAAAGGTTGTATTTGGCTCTTTGCTTTTACTTGCATTTTTTTAAATTATATTCTACCTTTGGAAAATAAAATAATATTGAATAAACTGACATTTTGCGCAGATGATGTCGACAAAAATACTTTAAAGTCGATACATATTTTCTCTTAATCACCGATGCCCAGCTCATAGTTTATTTGAACTCGCTTATTCAAACAAATTTCACAAAATTACCGCTCGCCAAAAAATTCTTTTATTAAAGAAAAACCTACGGTTAGATGAATAAAATTATTTTTTTCCTTATTATAATGTTGAATAACTTTGTCCACTTTGTAAGAGTTCAAACCTGGTGTCTATAAAAAAAGTCGCTGGTATCAAAATTAGGCCTTCCAAATCTAATGAAGCAACAAACAGCAAAATTTGTAAATTTAGGCAAGGCATCAAGTCACCTAATACCGCGACAAAGGGCAATCTATTTTAACAAACCACCATTTTGTAACAGGCCCTTTTGGCAAACTGTAAGACCTTATTGTACCCCATCTTAGCAGCGGATGCAAGATTAGGCAGAAAGCCTGGTCCTAATCATCAGTCTGCTAAGGGCAAGACACTTGCACAGAATATGCTCCACTATCTCCTCTTTCATTCTACATCTCCTACATGCCCTATCACTGGTCATAGCCAGTTTAAAAGCGTGCGATGTCAGCAGACAAATGACCTGTTAGAACACAAAACAGTAGTCTAGCGTCCTCTCTCTTGAGGGATGGGAGAAACTTCGTTAGCTTTATGTCATAGACTCTGCACATAATCTTGGAAGCCTTGCAGCCTTACTTTTTGGCCAACACCTGCCACGCCTTCAGGATCATGGACCGGTCCAGCTCCCGTCTAATCACTTAGAGGGAAATTGGCACTTCTCTATTGGCATAACAACTGATTCCTTGCCTCATGAAAAGAGAAAATTTATGTTTAAAACTTTTAAGAAAGGGCATTGCATACTGGTTTCAGTTCAAAAAGGGGAAAAAGAATTTAACACCTTCTTTATTAGAACTAACCCAGTAAGAGTGCACGTCAGTACAAGTATGTAGCAATTCCCGAGCTCTCCTGCACTCCGCAACCTTTCTTGAGGAAGGCCTGTGTGGTATATGCGCCTTTATCACAGCCTGACTGTCAGTGTAACGATTCACTTATTTATTTACTAGATTGTTACCGATTTGTTGAGCTCGACCTCCGTGCAGACGACTGACGCCCCTACGCCTTTCTCCATCTTCGATCCACATATGTATGCAGCCGAGCGAACACTATTCTATAGGGTCTTCGAAGTTCATCTTAAAATGCAGATCCGAGATAATGCGTCCAAGTAAAGTGGATGCTATAATACTGTTTTTGAGGACCTGCCCACAAACAACACCGTAACATAAAGCAAGAAAATGAAAAGTGCTGCCGCTGGTGTAGTTCAAAGCGCCCCTGTCATGCCGATCATTGATCGCCTGAATACACTTTCTTTTCTTTTAAGAATTGTTTTCTTCTCCATTGCTTTCCAGCAAATCAATAGGACGTAGAACTTTAACCCATGAGTAAGAGAAAGCGATACAACCCAGGTACATCCAAGCGAATCTTTTGCATGCATAAAATACCACGGTGACCTGCTTCGCTCTCTTCTCCACATTGAGGCGCCATGACAGCTTACTAGCAAGTAGTATTCCAACGTATTTGGCGCTTTGCTTCACCTGACCCTCTAGGTCAGCTTAATCTTCGGAACCTTGTTTTTCCTGGTGAAGAGTACCAGATCTATTATACTGCGTTGATACTAAGCCCCACTTCAGTTGCCCAAAGATGTATCTTTCGTAGTGCTTGGCTCAGAAGTGAAATGAGTGTGGACAGATACTTTCAGAAGAAATGTCGTCTACAATTTCAATAAATATGGCAGGTCCACATTCCATTTGCTTAGTATCCTATTGATTACCAGTGACAATAGCAGTAGCGATAATTCGCTCCTTTGCGGACTACCCCTGTTAACCGGTTTGTTAGTATCTTGCCTACCACATTGCGCCGCAACAATTCTGCGCAGCTCTGCATAGGGATTATCTAGTTCGAAATCACTATCGTCGTCATTCTGTATGAAATAGCTTGCTTAAAGCACAACGTTGATCCGGATCAACTCAGGAATTAACTGCAGTTGATCCGGATTAAGTCCGAGCTAATCCGGATCAACGCTACCGTCTGTTTAAGCTTTTAGAGACATTTCTGTAGATCCCCGCTATGTCCAGAAGTACCCTCATATCGAATTCTCTGCTCTCCATAGCCGCCTCAATACACAACAACATTGTGTAGGGCGTTATCTACCAGTCTTCCCTTCGAGTAAGCGTGTTCCGCTTTTAGAGCATGTGCCCCGCAACGTTGTATTTCATGTATACGTCTATAAACTTCTCCAGGGTCGTTTGAAGAAACTATGCTACGCTAAAGGGTCTAAAGTTCTTTGTGTATGTGTGGCCACTTCTATCCACTTTTGGAAAAGAGACCAGCCTTAGAGTCCTCCATGGCGTTGGAATGCAGATCAGTCTTCAAATATGTTGCGCAGCCAGCCCCTGGTCTTCCTTCTGCAACATCGCAGGAGAAATGCCGTCCAGACCCGGTTCTTATACTGTGAAAAAGAAATCAAAGCAGACTTGAAGGCGTTCCCAGTTCTACTGCAAGGCGGTCTCCTCCTGCGATGGGCGCTCCAGCGTTAGATAAACCACCTGTCGAGCTCAGTATAGTTTGAAAAATCTAAAACCATTATTGAAACCTTGTCGGTTAACTGTTTTGTGCTAAATTTTTATTTATCGTACCATTATTTTGCATACTGTTTATGTACAGATGGATAATTTTGCGTTGCATAGTTTAACTTATAACACTATGCGACAGTCAAAATCGGGATGGGATGAAACCACCGGGAAATGTTATAACGGTTCAATACAAGTTATACGTGGCCCGGCGTTTCGCGGAACGCCGGGACACGTATAACTTCTTTTTTACCGATATAACTTTCCCCGGTAGTTTGAACCCTTCCCGATCACTGACCCCTACCATTTATCTCACAGTGTAATAAGTGGTCACGTAAAATTTAATATAAAATATGCTTTTAGTTTTAAATCAATACGGGAGCATGAAAATTTTAAACCGATTCGTCTAAAAAACTGCCAAAGGCTACAGTACCAAAATAAAATCTGGACATTGTTAACTGAGGAAATTACATCGACTGACAAGTGTCAAAATTAAAAAAAATCTTCATTTCCACAAAATATCAAACCAGGAACAAAAAAGTTTACAGATTTTTAATAATTTGGAACTACCCGAAGCACTTATCGGCATCTGCAGCTGTAAACC